GTCACAGCTTTGAAAAGCCTGCAACGTAGTTCTACTCAGCTCACGTGAAGTCACTGTGACTTGGATTATCAATCTCTTTTTGGTTTTTAAAAAAAATTCTTTCATGCCTAAATATGTAACCAAAATTTAAATAATAGGAATAGTTGGGAAGATAAAGATAGCTATCAATAAATATGAAAGAAAAAGAATAAATATCATTAATTTATAAAGAACTCTTTAAACTGATTAGAAAAGGCAAGGAAGCCAATATCAAATGGGGAAACATATTTGAAGAACTAATCAAAGGAAAGGGAGTTTACAGAAGGCAAGTCAATATGTGACAAAATGCTCAAACGGGATAGATGGCAAATTATAAAAACCAATTATATAATTACGTAATATATACTAGAACAAATATCTCTTCCTGTCAGTTGACCAGGTGGTTGTATCTCTTCCTGTCAGTTGACCAGGTGGTTGTCCTCCAGATTTCTTGGCACAACTTGGTGAGCACATCTAGGGCAGCATCTATTTATTGAAATATATCAGTTGGTATACCGTCAATTCCTGGGGCCTTACTTTTTTTCCAGTTCTTTTAGAGCGGCATGAACTTCCTCCTTCATCACCACAGGCTCTTGCTCATATGTTGTTTCATGAAATTTTTCTGTGTCCACCAATTCCTTTTGGTACAATGACTCTATATTCTCTTTCCATCTTCTTTTAATACTGGATAATTTAATATTCTGCCCAAAGCATCTGTAAGTACTGCAACTTGAGGCTTGAATTTGTTCTTCAGTTCCTTGAGCTTAAGAAATGTGGAGCAAGTTTGGCTCCTTTGATTTTCTGACTCCAGCTCTTTGCACATCTCATTGTAATACTTTACTTTGTCTTCCCTTGCTGTCCTTTGAAATCATCTCTTTAGCTCCTTAATATCTTGATTTCTTCCCTCTGCTTTGGCTTTTCAGCACTCTAGTGCAATATTCAGAGTCTCTTCTGATGTCTGTTCTCACCACTGGGCTGATTGGCAGCATCGTGATGGGTGGTGAAGAGAATGAGATTGTAAACAGCTTTAGTTTGCTTGGCTCCACAGTCAACACTCTTGACACCAGCAGCCAGGAAATTAAAAGATATATTGCATTGGGGAAAATCTGCTGTCAGAGACCTCTCCAAAGTACCGAAGAGTGATGATGTCAGTCTGGAGAATAAGGTGTGCCAATACAGGACATGGTCTTTGCAAACACTTGGTATGCATGATAGAGCCAGACAATGACTAGGGATAATAGGAGAAATGATGTCTTTGAGCTGTGGTGCTGGAGAAGAGTATTGAATATACCATGGACTGCTAAGAGAACAAACAGGTTCATCCAAGAGAGGGTGAAACCAGGCTGCTCCTTGGAGGCAACGATTCTGAAGCTTTGTCTGACATACTTTGGACATGTTGCAAGGAGGGATCAGTCCTTGGAGAGGGACATCATGCTTGGGAGGGTGGAGGGACAGAGCAGGAGAGGAAGACCCTCAATGAGATGAAATGATTCAGTGACTGAGGTAATGGGAGTAGGTGTGTCAGAGAAAACAAGATTGACACAGGATAGAGCAGAGTGTAGGGCTATTGTATGTAGGGTCATTATGAGTCACAGGCAATTCAACAGCACAGAACAACAACAATATATAATATTATCTTTGTTCAGATGTGGTCCTTAACCCTGTTCCTAAGGAATATCAATTTTTTACTGACTCATTTCTCTTCACACAGGATACTCCAGTAACCTGATAAAATCTTTAACAGTATGCTTATTTTCTTTGATAAAATATTTTATCTTCAGAATATAGTTTTGAAAGATTTTGTGTAAGACAAAAGCAAGCTTATTGTCAAATGATATGAAGAATACAAATACAGGAATTTGAGCTCGCTGATTCAATTTACCTTTTTATGTCCTTTAAGTCCTCCTTTCTTGATCTAATTCAAATTCTCTTTAATTGACATGCTCTAATTTTGAAGCAGAGTTTTAAATCAAGGTTTAGTCGTATTATTTGCATATAAATCCATAAAATGAAGTGAGAATCATGAGTCTGTGAATAAGTAGTAGCTACTCTCAAAATTATTTTATTATAAAAAGGGCTGAATGTTAAACTTGAAAATTACTTGTGAAAGATGATTTCATAATTTTTTCTTATTCTGAACTCAGAAGTCTACTTTGAACTTTTGAATTAATAGTTGACTTTGCTCATCTTAGCTTCATTAGAATTTTCTTCTAGCTTTATTAGAACTATTTCTTACCTTTACAATCTGTTGTCATTTAAAGAGCCATGACATTTTATAGACTAAAAGATAGTGTGTCAGGAAACATGGTAATCAACTTGCTATTAGTTCCACAGTAGTCAGATGTGGATACATTTATGGTGAGTGGTGGTTTAATTTATTTACATTTCCTTTTAAAGCAATACCAGTTAGGATTAATTCCTAACAGTGAAATATTGACTCTCTTGTCAATCAGGATACTGTATTGAATTGTGCATTAAAATTAACAGTGTGATTTAAAAATACTGATAACCGGATTCACCTCCAGAAAGTGGGATGCTGGACTAGGAATTGGGCTTTGCTGTTGTACCATCAGGGGTGAGAACTATTCACTAATGTTAACCAGACAATCCTGCCCTCAGGAAGACTACAGCCTAGGGATGTGTGTGTGTGTGTGTGTGTGTACACACGCACACACACATATTCTGTTGAAGTTGCTGAAAGCTAATTAACAAACCCATTGTTGTCAAAAACAATGCTCAGACACACAGCCTTCGAGTTGGTGTTGCTTCATAGCAACCCACCCTCTGCTGGATTTCAGAGGCTGTAAATCTTAATGGGTGGAGACTGCCCATCTTTCTCTTCTTGAATGGCTAGTGGATTCAAATCACTTGAGGCTTTTGCGTTTGTGTTTGCTGAAAAACATACTATAGATTCAGTAAGAAGCCGTTTAGTGCTGCCCCCAAAGTTGAAGTGCTTGATGAGCTAAATCTGAGTTTTCCAAAGGATGGTCATCTTTTCCAGTGCTAATGCGTGCAGTGATTGTACTCACAGTTTTATTTTCATAGTTACATATTTGTTTCACTGGTGTATCAAATGCCATAATGGTTACCCATGGTGGAGAGTGTTTGGTGGAGCTTCCAGATTAAGACAGGCTTGGAAGCAGGAGTGGCATCCACTTCCTAAACAACATGCCTCCGGAAACTCTATGAACTTAGAAAAATGACAATAGGTATAGAATAAGTTTCAGGTTTTTTGTTCATAAGGTCCCTATGAGTCGTGCTTGACTCAGTGGCACTTAACAACAACATTTGTATCAATGTGTGATATGAGCCATCTGCTGACTTACGTAGACCCATCAGCTGGTTTTCAAAGGCAGTAAATCAGATGGGAAGAGATTGACCATCTCTCTTCATAGAAGTAGCCCATGGATTCGAATCAGATGCCTTTGAGTTGGTAGCTCAGCTCTACCATGAAGTTACCAGAACTCCTTTGATGCGTGTTAGAACATAAATAGAAGTTTTATATCAAACTCAGGTTCATAGATAATACTTTGATTAAAGTTAAGTTATTTTAAATTATAATTTGCCAATGTATAGAAACACATTAAGCAATTCATTAGAGAGTACGTAGTCACAGAAGAAATCATAAGATGTTTGAGGGGAAACAGTGTGTTCATCTGTGGTAGGGTCTCTCCAAGCCTGACGTATTGGGACCTGATGCCCCCACCCCCTCTAGATGGAGCCACAGTGATTTCATTCTTCTGGATTTTTCAATACAGGGACAGATACAGAATATCTGAAAATCACTGAGTCATTATCTGGTGAAAAGATGAGAAAGTATATTCATATGTGTGAAAGTATGTGTGTGGAGTGGTGGGGCTGATGGATAAATAAATGTATCACCTGGATGGTGATGTTGTTAGGTGCCATAGTATGTGGTGGGGTTGATGGATAAGTAAATGTATCGCCTGGATGGTGATGTTGTTAGGTGCCATAGAGTCTAGTGACTCATGGTAACACTGTGAACAACAGATCTGCACCCTGTCCTGTCCTGCATCATCCCTTCCTGACACACTAGAGCCCCTTGCGGCAGTTACTGAGTCATCTGTCTGGCTGAGGGTTTTCCTTTCTGTTGCTGTCCCTCCACCTTTCCAAGCATGATATCCCGTCCTAAGGAATAGTTTCTCCTAGCAACATGCCCCAAGTATGTGAAATGAAAGTTTATCACTTTCAAGGAACACTCTAACGTCACCTATCCAAGTGACATCTGTTTGTTCTTTTGATAAATAAGATACTCAATACTCTTCTCCAACTCCACAGTTAAAAGACAACAATTCTTGTGCCTTCCTTACTCATTGTGCATGTCTCACATACACAGCAAGTGACTGAAAAGACCATGGCCTGAATCAGGCACACCTTAATCCTCAAATTGGCATCATTGCTGCTCAGTAATTTGGAGAGGTCCCTGACTGCAGCCTTTCCCAGTGCAATATGTCTCCTGATTTCCTTACTGCTAGTTGTGGATCCTTACTTGGATGAAGTTGTTGACAATTTCAATCTTTTCTCCATTTTGATACTGCTTCTCAGAATCAATCACCAGATCTCACAATCCCAGACACCCTTTATTCTCCCCATACTCTCAAGAAAATCATAGGTTCCCCACAATTCAAACCATTTAGGAAATACTGCTTTAGAGACACTTACTGGTAAAGTATAAGCAACATATAAAGTTATGTAGCCAACTTACATGACAGATATCTGAAGTTCAGAAATATTTGAAAAGGCAAATGAGCTCTTCTTGTTTCATCATCAGTAATTATATGTCTATATAATTTATGTGCATATATATAAAGCACAAGTTATAGAGGCAACGGAGTATCCGAAGTAGCCATGCAGTTAGCATTTAAATTCTGTTGCTGCAAGTTAAAAAATAATGAGATACAGTTGTAATGCTGTGTTGTGTTGTGTTGTGTTATAAATGTCTACCCTGTGTAATTTTGTAGGATGGAAGCTTCTTGCCTGGAACTGGCCTTGGAAGGGGAACGTCTGTGTAAATCAGGAGACTGCCGTGCTGGCGTGTCGTTCTTTGAAGCTGCAGTGCAAGTTGGAACTGAGGACCTAAAAACACTTAGTGCTATTTACAGCCAGCTGGGCAATGCTTATTTCTATTTGCATGATTACGCCAAAGCATTAGAATACCATCATCATGATTTAACTCTTGCAAGGTAATTAATTTAATCCTTTTAATATTCTTCTTCCCTAAATTAACTGTTTTAAAATGTTTTAATTCCATTAAAAAAAACAAAATCCCTTTAATGAGTTCTAGCTGAATAGTATCCACTTTTTAAAAACTAATCTTTAGGCTGAACAGAATGTTTAATTAAATGAATGAATAGTGATGGAATTACCCAAGAGTTTAATTAAGTGACTGAAAATTAAATTTAAATACAGAAATGTGAGTTTTAGATTTTTATTTAAAGTAGGTTTTAAGGCTAATGGTTCTTACTCTAAAAGCATATCAATTATCCTCTAGGAAAACTAACTATACTGTGGCTGCCTTATATTTTAATACCATTTTCTTTTCCCTTTTCATTTCCACAGGACTATAGGAGACCAGCTGGGAGAAGCCAAAGCTAGTGGTAATTTGGGAAATACCTTAAAAGTTCTTGGGAATTTTGATGAAGCTATTGTTTGTTGTCAACGACACCTGGATATTTCCAGAGAGCTTAATGACAAGGTAATACAGAAATGTGAGACAGCAGCCCAAATATTTTCTTTGAAATTGCTGTGGAGTGGACTTTTGGGGAGGGATTGCATAACAATGAAAGAGTTTTTCTTTTACTTTTCAAGGAGAAGAGTGAATTGTTGGGGGAGGAGGTGGGCAGGGAGAATAGTGCAACAATGAATGATTGACCCTATGTCTCTGTAAACATTCATTAAAATTTATAAAAAAAATTAAAAAATACAAACCAAAAAATTGCATTGTTTTATTACTATTTCATTATTTTGTCATTTATCTAAAATTTAATGATGTAAATATTCATAGAAAAAGAAAACATAGTAAATTTTTTAAATAGGAAAAGGACATAATGAGAAGCTTGTCTTGTTTAATCATTTGTTTAATTCTGCATGGATGCCAGAGAAAACATTTCTTTCCCATACATGTGGTAAGCATTTTAACCCCTGGCCTCTAAATTCAAACTCTGCTGATACCATCCAGGTAGGAGAAGCAAGAGCCCTTTACAACCTTGGAAATGTGTATCACGCCAAAGGGAAAAGTTTTGGCTTCCCTGGGCCTCAGGACACAGCAGAATTTCCTGATGAAGTGAGAGACGCTCTGCAGGCGGCCGTGGAGTACTATGAGTGAGTAGCAGGAAGCAGCCTGTTGGGCCCAACCGAGCAGCCAGTGAATCTGCTCTTCCTTCTTTATCTAGTCATAACTTTGGCAGTTTGGCCCGTTGGGAAGTGTCGGGCTACCTCCTTGCCTTTGAGTGCATTCAGGCTCACAGTGACCCTGTCCCTTGGTGTCTCCAAGGCTGAATCTCATTATGGGAGCTGGCTGCTTCATCTTTCTTCCAGAGGGCAGCTGGACTCAAACCCTGGCCTTTCAGCTAGCATTCAACTCTTGATTCACTGCGCAACCAGGCCTTCTGCAGTCCAGCAGGCAAAAACAAACCCTCAAAGCAGTTGCTAAAATGTGTCGGTGTTCTCCTGGTATAATCTCCTCTGTAAAAGTTCATTTCAGCTGCAGACCAGTGCCACTTAGTGGCAAGAACTAGCAATGGTTAACCTAAATTATTTAGAGTAAATACAGAATCTTAGAGCATTTCTGAACTATAGGAGTTCTAAGAGGAAATCTGTCCTAACTCTGCTCACAGACCTCCTCAGTTGTTCAGTGAAGATCCTCTATAATATCATAGGAAATTTCCTATAAACAAATGCCATCACACATCTTTAAAATGTAGCACACGATGACAACGATCTGGAACAAGGGGTGTGCATTGCAGGGAGGGTTAGGGGAGGGAGAGGTATAGTGAGGGAAGAAAATCTCCAACATTGGAAAAAAAGAAATGAAAAATGGAATACAAATAAAATGTAGCACACTAGAGTGCTAATTTTATGGGAAACTTTCTTGGCTAATAAAAGCAGATTTGTAAATTAAGTTAATAACATTTTCCTAATTTGTTTTTCACAATATCTTATCACTTAGGGAAAACTTATCATTAGTGACAGCGTTAGGTGACCGGGCAGCCCAAGGACGTGCCTTTGGGAATCTGGGAAACACTCATTACCTCCTTGGCAACTTCAGGGATGCAGTCATAGCTCATGAGCAGGTAAGATGGGAGGTCATTTTTCCCGTACACGTTTTGAACAGTGATTAGTTTATTCTTATGTCTTTATTATGACTGTATCTAATCAGAATACTCTCTTTCAGCGTCTCCTTATTGCGAAAGAATTTGGAGATAAAGCGGCCGAAAGAAGAGCATATAGCAACCTTGGAAATGCATATATATTTCTTGGTGAATTTGAAACTGCTTCTGAATACTACAAGTTAGTATAATATTTCTGTAGATAAATAAAATGAATAATTATTCCATCCGATTGAATCATAAGTTTTGGGTTGACACTGGTTGTGCTGCATACTAATAAGACAGCCGTGAGCACCTAAGCATCAGTTTGTAATCTTACTAATACCTTTTCAAGTGGTGAGGATTAAGTTAAAGAATATATTAAGCACTTACTTAACTGTTATGTAAAGCACTTAACTGTTACGTTTATTGAACACTGTGTTCAATAAATGTTATCAGCACTTAGGAATGAATTAGTAGCACTGTTTTGTTGGTGGGCTGTGCCATCAAATTAATTCTAACACAGTCATTAGGTGCCATCAAGTTAACTATGACTCACAGGGACCCTGTAAACACCATATTGAAACCCTACCCCGTCCTAACTCATAGCAACCCTGTCTTAACTCTTAGAACCCCTTAAGATGGAATAGAATTGCCCCACAGGATTAACTGTAATCCTTACAAAGCAGATTGCCAGATTTCCTCTTATGGAGCAGCTGGCTGGGTTTGAATTGTGGACTCTTTGGTTAACAGCCAAGCACTTAACCACTGTGCCACTAGGGCTCCTTTAGCAGCAGGATAAACCAAAGCAGGCCCACTGCCATCAAGTCGATCCCAACATGCAGGGACCCTCAGTTGGGTTCTGAGGCAGCAAACGTTTACAGAAGGAGTCTGCCCACCTTTCCCTGAGGAGCAGCTGGGCTTTGGAACGACTGACCTTTTGGTCAGCATAATGCATTACACGACCAGAGCTCCCATTAGTAGCAGTATAGCCCCCCTTTTGACGCTCTGTCTCAGATACTCTGGGAAAGGTGGAGGGACAGAGCAAGGGAGAAAGGCCCCGGATGAGCTGGATTGACGCAGTGACTGGGCTAAGGTGGGTAGTTGTATTGGAGACGATGAGGTTGGCACAGAATAGAGCAGGTTGAGAGCTGTTGTACACAGGGTCACTGTGAGTCACAAATGGCTTGATGGCCCATAACAACAACAACAACGTACTTTCATGAGTTTTTATCTTTAAAAACTAATTGCCTTTAAATGAAATATAAAACTTTTAGTCTTTCAACCTGTTTGGCATATGTGGTATGTAATTTGTGTATGCTTTTTTTGCCTAATTATAGATTTTGTATAGAGGCCAAAATCAAGCTTGGTAACAAAAAATACTCCCCATTTTCTGCCAGTGCTCACTGAGGTACTCCTCCTGCCAACTTGAGCTGTTACCCTTCCTGCCTACCTTTCATTTACTCCCACACGATCCCAGCCTCTCCTTCTGCAGTCTTTGCACTATATCAATAGATTGAACCATAGATGGTAGCAAAGTTTTGAAGACTTCAGGTTGCCTGATCTGTGCTTTCTAGGCTGTTTGGTGTTTTCCTTATTTAGTAAGCATAGTAGTTTGATACAGAGCTCAGGCAAAAGCCGCCTTTACTAACCAAACAACAGTGATTTGTGGTTTAGTCTTACAGAGTCCAGTGTGAGGAAGTTCTAGATAGTTTGTCATCTAAGACACAAGTAAAATTGTTTTAGTTTTATCTAGAACAACAGGGTGGCATCCATCCTCTGAAAACATTGGTAATACTTAACTCGTTGGTCAGTTATGTAGGAAATACTCTCCCCAAATATATCACTGTAAAAAGAGTATATGCTTTTATTTTAAATATAAAATTTTCTTACATTTTAAATTCAAAGGACAAAGAAAGTAGTATAACTATATTAAATACTGAAAGGTCTTTTGTAAAGTAACGCTGTGGTTGTTACATACTGTTGAGTAACTGACTCATAGCTGACTCTCCACAGGGTTTTCTGAGGCAGTAAATCACATGAGGAGATTGCCCATCTTTCTCTCATATTATAAAGTGAGTCGTAACTGTTGACTAATGTCATTAGGAATTCTGTTTGGAATTCTCTTTTGGAATTGTTTTCACATTTCTAAAAGAAGGCTCTCTCACTTAAATCCTTCCTTTATTCAGGATATGAAGTGTTTTTGTTGTTGGGTACCATCAGGTGGGAACTGACCCACAGCTGACCCCCCAGGAGATTTTCAGAGGCAGTTAATCCCATAGAAGGAGATTGCTCATCCTTCTCCTGCAGAACATCTGGTAGATTTGAATCTCATACCTTCAGGATTGCAGGCAGCTTCTTGCCACTAGGCTACCAGATCTTCCTATCCATTGTGATAAACCTACTTATTAGTGAAATTTTATTCCAGAAAGACTGAACACTTAAAAATCACCTGTACCCTCAAAGAATAATATTCTAGAAAGCGTCATGCAACAGGACAGTCTCTTTAGGAATTTTAAGTTTGCTTTAAAAAACCATTACATTAACATAAAGAAGTTTCTCATGTAGTTATAAATTATAAGAAGAGTGTTAGAGTCTAATATCCCATACTTTTTCTTAGTTTTAGACAAAAATGAAAAGGTGTTTTTAGAACGCAAAAAGAAAAAATTTTTCTTAATAAATGTGAGGGACTAACAGTTTATTGGAAAAAAGTAATTGTAAAACATGGGATTAACTCCTTCTGCAGATTAATAAAGTGTTTAATCTTTGAAGACATTCCCCATTTTATTGAGAAGCTTTTGTACACATAACTTCTTTTTTTCAATCATACTATTGCCCTTACATTTTATTAATTTTTAAAATACTTTTATTAACATTCTTGTGTGTTGACACTGGTCACACATTCATGAAAAAGAATGAACATTTCATTTAAACATAAACAAAATTCTACCTAACCTTTGACATTAGCAGAAAGAAGCTAGGATTCTAGTTAACAGTGTGGACCTTGGAATTAGATTTCTGAGGTCAAATCCTGACTTTGATACAGAATATTCCATGAGCTGCCAAAAGTACAAACAAATATCTCCTGGAAATGGTGCAGTCAGGTTAATTCTTAGAATCATGGATGGAGAGGCTTAGTCTCACATATTTTGGGCATGTTATCAGGAAGTTATGAGGATGGCATAGGTTAGAACAGGGTTCAGATCTTTTGTTCTTAGGGTCACTATGAGTTGTACTCAACTCGATAGCACCTAACAACAACATTAGGAGAGACTTGCCTTTGGAAAGGGACATCATGCTGAAAAGGTGGAAGATTAGCAAAGGAGAGGACCCTCGATGAGATGGATTGATACAGTGACTGCAACAATGGGCTCAAGTATGTCAGAGATGATGAGGATGGCACAGGATAGGGCAGGGTCCAGGTCCATTACTGTGATTCACGATTGGCCTGATGGCACCTAACAACAAAAAGAATCTGATGCAAGTGACTTAGAATCTCTGCATATCAGTTTCCATCTGTAAAATGATGGAGATCATACCTCCGCAGGGGTTTTGAGAAGGTTAATTACTTTAAATTACTTTAAAGTAATTTGTCTTACCTTGCTTTAAAGGCAGCAGAGAGAAGCAGTACACAAACATAAACCAATTCCCATGAGATCAGACATGTCTCTCCTCGCCCCCCATGCTCCCATACCTCTTTCTGCTCATCTTAACACCTATCTCACTGCTTTGCAGAGTCCAGAATTCAATGCAGTAGCTCACAGACCACACAGAACCATACTGGGGAGGTCAACATGTTATAATCCAGGTTAATAGCAGAATACAGTCAGGACAGCTTCCAAAATGTGCTTGTGGGAGCCTCAGCCTTGAGCCTCGTGGCTTTATGCCAGTGTTACAAAGTTCTCCGTCCTGTGAGCAATGGCTCTCCTCCCCCCAGTTATCTGACAGACTTGAGCTAAAACTCTTAGCTCCAGTTCCAGTGGGGTGGCAGTCCCAAGGTCCCATCTCATGTCAGGTCTCTGGTTCTCTGCTGTGGCTGTTGGTCTTGTAGGCCCTCTTAAATCCTCTTTTCTTGGAGGTGAGGTTTCTTTCTGCTTCCAGATCCACTCGATTTAATCACAAGACTAGCAAATCTGCTTGTGAATAGGTTAACACGCCCTATTCACATATTTCCCACAACAAGACAAAGTCAAGTTCAGTGTCTAGGAAAGCCATATGAAAAGATAAACTCCACAAGCAGAAAAGGGAAAAGAAGAATTTTATTATTACAGCTGAAAATAAAAATGATAGTTATGTAAAATTAATTTCTTCCTTCAGGAAGACACTACTTTTGGCTCGACAGCTTAAAGACAGAGCTGTAGAAGCACAGTCCTGTTACAGCCTTGGAAACACATATACTTTACTTCAAGACTATGAAAAAGCCATTGATTATCATCTGAAGCACCTAGCAATTGCTCAAGAGCTAAATGATAGGTAAGTTATAAATTTTACTATAGCTTTGGTATGATATGATTAATTCTTTTGTTTTTTGTTTCATTTCTTTTACTTTGTCTATTTTTTAAAAATTCCCTTTAAAGGAGTTTTTTTCCCATTTCTGTACCATCCTTTACGTATTATTGTTTATGGGGCTAGCTTGTCATAGAGGATCAGACTGGCTCCATATGGTTAGAACAAGACCACTGAATGGGGCACAGACTCGGCCAGATACGACGTCCTTCCTGATCTGTCAGTGTGGGACTGTGGCCTCAGAGATGCCGCTGTAGGGCAGCTCCTCCTGGCTCCAACTGACTACTGCCAGGCAGGAAGAAGGGCCCAGTGAGGCCACATCTGCCCTCTCCTTTGTTTAAAAAAAAATTAGAGAAGCTGAATGTCTGAGTTTTATGTGAAATCTTTCTTTCAGTTGCATAAAGAAACAGCATGTCTATGTAGAACGAAAACAGGTTTTTATTCCAAGATAAGAAAAAAATTTTGATAGCTTTTCAAATTAAGCATACTCCAGAGGTTGTGATTTCTCTCCCCTAGTGATGTCCAAACACGGACTAAATGATTCCATTAAATGGTAGGGATGTCACAGATGAGGCAAACCTAATCCTGAGATTTTTTTATAATCCTTGCATTTTAAAAAGTTTGTTTTTTTTCCCCCATGTTTTAACACTTGATTCTGAGTTCAGTACTATCTGGGTATTCTACTATGTCTCTAAACCTGTGATTCAACTAGTATTCATTATATGAAAGACCAAATGAATCCAAAACATTGTATCTTTAGTTACTTTTAAATAGCTTTTATTGCATGCTTAGACTTTAGCTGTGAATTATGTTGCAGGATTGGAGAAGGAAGAGCCTGCTGGAGCTTAGGAAATGCCTACACAGCACTTGGAAACCATGATCAGGCGATGCAATTTGCAGAAAAGCACTTAGAAATTTCAAGAGAGGTATGAAACTAAACTGCTTGTGCTATTGTGCCTTACAGATCAATGGGGATAAAACACTATTATTTCTCCAGATAGCTCCTCTGTGGCTGATTACACTTGATTATCCGTTACTTTCTTGGCATATGAACTGTACAAAGCATTTTGAGAACTAGCTCAGAGGAGTGCTTGAGTTGGCCTTCAGGCAAGTGAGACCCACATGGGGGAGGTTGGAGGGAAGTTGCTAAAATGTATTCCCACCCTCCCCCAGCCCTGCGTGGAAATGTAGCATGTGTAGAAGAGAAAGCATGGGTTTTAGAGTCGAAGAGTTCACTGACAGTTCTATCACTTCCTGGCTATTTGAGCTTGGGAAATTTTTCTGAGCCTCATTTTCTCTTATCTGTAAAATGAGAATAATAATTGCAAGTTGTTTGAAGGAGTAAGAGTGAAACATGTAAAGTAATGTCTATAAAATTATCTGGCATAAGGAGAAAGACATGCTTGGAAAACTTGAGGGTCATGGGTAAAAAAAGGAAGAACCTCAACTAGATGGCTTGACACAGTGTTTATAACCGTGAACTCACATGTAACTCTGATTATGAGGATGGCACAAGGCCAGCAGCATTGTACACAGGGTCACTCCTAATCAGAAACTACGGGGCACCTAACAACAACATAGTGCCTGGTGTTGCCTTAATAAGTGTTAACTACTGTTACTGTAAGGGAACTCGGGTGGCCTGGTGGGTAGGGAGTTGCCCTGCCGACCAGACACATGGTTTGAATCCACCAGCTGTTCCTTGGGGAAAAGATGGGCCTCTTTCTCCTGTGTGATTATGACCTCGGAAACCCACCCTCTACCAGGTCAGCTGTGAGTTCCAATAGTGTGGCACACAACAATAGCAATTGATGTTTTATGGAAACAAATTATTCTAAAGACATTTCATTTGGATGATGTCAAATTAATGTGTCATTGTATAATCTAGTTTATCATTTAATATAATTCTAAATAAGAAAAATCCAATTTTTAGAGAACCACCATGAATTCATCCTATATAGTTAATTACCTGTTATACTGTAATATTTTAAAAACTTTATGCTCTTTATATACTCTTAAAAAAAAACCAAACCACCTATTAATGAAAACCCATTTCATAGTCCTCTAATGTGACTATTTTCATTTCTCTATGTTTTTCCAATCTTAGGCTCACATTCAGCTCATCTTTACTATTCTGTGTCTTTGTTTAAAATCTAAATGCTTGTGGTTGTAGGTTGGGGACAGAAGTGGTGAACTAACAGCACGCCTGAATCTCTCTGACCTTCAAATGGTTCTTGGTCTGAGCTACAGCACAAATAATTCCATGATGTCTGAAAATATTGATTTTGATAACAGTTTGCATGGTAAGTAATAGGTCTTTTACAAGCCAGTTTCTTTATCCTCAAGATTTGCATTTAAATTATCTATCGCACATACTTGGCATATCCAGAGAGAATGTAGAACAGAAATGTCAACTACTGTCCCCTTTTCACTATAGAGTATTAATACTTGGGTTTAGTTTAACTCTTTTTCACATTGTCATTTTTTTTTCCTCAAATGAAATCTCTTAGGATTATTTTCTCTTTTTATTCAAAATATGCCAGAATATCTCTTTTTAAGCAAAAAATGTTGACTTGTGATTAATGAAATCCAAGTCCACTCAGCCTGTGACCCTTCGTGACACTGAAAACACTTTTCAGAGTTATCTGTGGCCTCCGTTTTACTAAGCACGTTGGTCAGTTTACAGAATAATCATTCCTTCTTCAAAATGCTGTCTTCACTTGGTCTCCACAATACCCTGCTTTCCTGGCTCCCCTCACCCTGGGGCCCATTTTCCATTACTTTCTCTTCTTCCCCTTTTCATCCCCTAAAGCTGTAGCACCTAGCAGTCAGTCCTTGGACCTCTTTTTGCTTCCTTCCTTCCATTTTTCATCCATTCATTCCTTCTTTGGTTTTTATCTTTGCCTCCTTCTCCTACATTCTAGATCGGTGCTGCCTGGTAGAATTTTCTGTGATGCTAGAAATGTTCTATGTTTCCACTGTCTAATACAACACAACACAGTACACAACAATACAATAGCCATATGTGGCCACTGTGAAAGGGACTTGAATTTTTAATACAATTTTAACTCATTAATTTGAATCTTAAAAGCTATCTGTAGCTAGTAGCTGCCAGATTAGATAGCCAAGATCTAGATAACATCTATGTTAGAGTTTACATCATCGGTATAGCTCTGGTGGCCTAGTAGGGAAGGAGTTGTACTGCCAGCACAAAGGTAGATGGTTTGAATCCACAAGCTGCTCTGTTAGAGAAAGATGGGCAGTCTCCTCCTGTGTGATTTACTGCTCTGGATACCTGCTGGAGGGTCAGCGAGGAGTTAATTCTGACTTGACAGCAGTGAGGTGAAAGAGAGTTTTCCAAGGGGCCAGTCCTGGAACAGGACATGATCCTGGGAAAGGCAGAGATAAGATGGAAAGACACAGCCATGGGCTTGAGCGCAGCAGATCGTGAGGATGGTGCAGGATAGGCAAGGTTTAGATTTTCTGTTCATAGGTTGCTGTGAATTATAGTCAGCTTAACAGCACCTAACAACAACATGCGCGGATAAGAGACCTTGGCGGCAGTGAATCCATCGCAAGTTGCACAGCTAACCCAGCGGCTGCTCTGGCAGTTATCAGTGGCTCATTGGAAAAAAGGTGGACAGTCGTTGAGTTTTGATTTAGACCTGATGAGGAGAAACTGACCTGATGGTAGTGAATTTTTGACAGTTACTGATTATTATTATTATTTATATTACTGAGTATGCTGATGACTTTGAAATTTACTCGAGTTCTATGTTGAGAACTCGATATAGATACACACACATTGAACATTTCTGTCAGAATGTCTAGTTGATATCTAAAGTGTGACATACCCACAATACAAATCTTCATTTCCCCTCTTGTCCCAAACCTGTGCTTTCAGTGTACTTCATCGCAAGGAATAGTAGTGCCGTTCCCTCTGATATTCAAATATACTCAACTGATCAGAAACTCTACCTTCAAAGACATCTTTAGTCACTCCTAAAACCTTTATTGCACCTATCTCAGCAGAGTGCTAGCCTACAAAGTGCTTGTCTTTCTTCTGTTGTTGATTCTCACACTGCCTTTTCCACACAGCACTTAGAATTGTTTTTAAAATGTAAGTTGCAGTGTCATTCTTCTCCTTGAAACCCTCCCATGACCTCCCATCACACCTGGAGCCAGTCTTTAGTCCTCGCTGTGGCCGAAAGGCCCATGTAATCCCAGCCTCCCCCGCCAGCCTCACCTTCGGTCCCTTCTGCCTGGCACAGTCTGACCCCATGAGAACAAAGTGTCAGTTGTTGTTCTTTTCCCTTTTTAATTCATGCTGTTTCCTCAGTGCCAGGCTGCCTGCAGGCCAGAGGAACTGAAATTCATCTCTTTCTGATATTGGCTCAGGGTAGAGAAAAAAATATTTTCCCTAAGAATCTAAATTCATTGGCTTGCCTGCATACTGATTAGGAATGTGACTTCTACCATTTGCACAGTCCAGTTTCACGCAACCCCAATTCGGTGGGGTGCTTTTGGGTTAGGAGTGGTTCTAAGGTTTTAGCAGGAGAAACCACACACTGGTGTGTACGTTTGTATATAACACTTAACAATAAATCATATTAGGTAAGGGCAAGAATTGTTTCCTGCCGTTTTAATTTTATAGTTGTGTGTTTATGTGTTCATAGTTACAGTGAAATATATATTTTCTGAGTCTCCATTTAAAAATGTGAAAACCACTGATGTCATGGATATAGAGGAAGGGACACCTAGCAACAGGCCTACTCTTGTTAAAAAAATATTGATATTTTAATATAGTTTACAATTTAATCTGAGTTTATAGAAAACTTGAATTTCCATTCATTCATTGTTGCACATTTTCCTCCCTAATCCCCCTTGTTTGCTTTTCTGTTTAAAATGATTCTTTCGTTGTTTCACAATTTCCTCCCTTCCTCTGTCCCCACCCCACCCAGTCCACTTTGCTATGTACCTCTTACTCTGGAATATTGTTTATTGCAATGCAAATAATACCTAATCATATATTTCTTTTAGACAGTTCTTTCCCTTATCTTTTTCAAGGAAGTATTCATTATTTATCCCCTCTTTTCTTAGTTTTCCCCCCAGCCCCCATGTCAGTCCTGTTTTATAACAGTGGCATTATGCAGTATTTGTCCTTTGTGACTGAGATATTTCACTCAGCATAATGTCTTCCAGGGTCACCTATTTTGTAGTATTTTATGAGTTCCTTATTTTTCAGTGCAGTGTAATATTTCATTGTGTGAATATACTACAGCTTCTCTAGCCATTAATTTGTTGATGGATAATCTCATTCTAATAAATTTTTTTATTATTTAATTTAAATGAAAGTTTACAGACTTTGGATTTCCATTTATTCATTGTTGCCCTTTTCCCGCTGCTCAACCTCCCCCTCAGTTTGCTCTTCTCTTTGAAAAGTAAAAGAAAAATTCTTTCATTGTTATACAATCCTTCCCCCTAAGTCCACTCCACTATGCAGATTTCATTCTGGATTCCTGTCATGACCATAATACCTAATCATATATCCCTTTTAAACAGTTTTCTTCCTCATCTGTTTCAGTGCAATATACATAATTTATCTCCTCTTTCTCAGTCTTCCTCCAACCCCAATGTCAGTCCCATTTTACAACAGTGGAACCATGCAGTATTTGTCCTTTTGTGACTGAGCTACTTCACTCAGCATAATGTCCTCCAGGATCATCCATTTTGAATAATAATATTATGAGTTCTTTGTTTTTCACTTTAGCATAGTATTCCATTGTGTGAATATACCAGAGTTTCTCTATCCATTCATTTGTTGATGGTCACTTAGGTTGCTTCCAGCTCCTTGCTGTTGTGAACAAAGCCGCAGTAAACATGGGTGTGCTCTTGTTCTTTTTAAGCATGCATGAAACATTTATAAAAACTTGACCACACTTTTTTGTGCTGGGGCTGTTGAGATCCTGGTTGCTGCCACAGCTCCTATTAAAAAAAATCAAGATTAAATAAAAATTAATAATATGTAATAATAAATAAAAAATGAAATAAAAATCAAGATTAAATAAAAAAACTAATTTAAAAAACCCCAAACTTGACAGCATACTAAACCAGTAAAATAGATCTCAGAATATTTCAAAGAATCTGTATCATATGGATTTCATCTTTTTAGTATAGTACAAGTTACAAATTAATAGCAAGACAATAATATGCAAATCATATTTGAAAACTTGTAAACATTTGTAAGTTGAGATAAAGAAGAAATGCTAAAGGAGATGAAACAATAATGTGAGGTCTAAGTGTTCTTGAAAATAATGTATTTCAAAATCTATGGGAAGCAGCTTAAACTGATACAAAAATCAAACTTTACTTTTTATTACATGTACAAGGGTAAGATCCAGGAGGGACCAGTCCTTGGACATCATGCTGGGAAGGGTGGAGGGACAGCGCAAGAGAGGAAGACCCTGGATGAGATGGACTGACTCAGTGACTTGGGTAATGGGGGCAGATGTGTCAGAGACGATGAAATTGACTCAAGATAGTGCAGGGTTCAGAGCTGTTGTACATAGCAAGTCACTATGAGTGACAAGCAACATACATAACATTCATAACAACAAGAGCTAAAAAGAATTGAGCTAAATATCCATCTTAAGAAATAAAACAAAAACAAGCAAGCATGAAACAAGACCACAGGGATGAACACAGTAAAACACCATCCTGATGTGGAGGTGAAGCTTAGAGAAGAGGTCATAAAACAAGTGCAGGAAAGATTTTAAAAGAGCTTGTTCTGACTTTACCAAAGAAGACACCCAGGGGGCAAAAACATACGTGAAGAAATGCTCAAGATCATTATCCGAGAGATGCAAATCAAAACCACCACAGTGGCAAATTCAGTAAGACATCAGACAACTAATAGTAGCAAGTGTTGGGGAGCTCTGGTGGCCTAGTGGCAAGAAGCTGCAACTACAATCCCAGAGGTGCACGGTTCGAATCCACCAGATGCTCTGCCGGGGAAGGAGGGGCAATCTCCTCCTGTACCAGTCAGATCTGATTTGATGGTACACTCACACAAAAATAATAAAATTAAATTAAAAAAAAAATAGTAGCAAGTGTTTGGAGAGATTGCACCATAAGGAAAGTAGTTTGGTACTTCCTTAGAAAGTTGGGAGTAAAAATACCATTTGATTCTGCAACCCCACTGTGAGGCATCTATCCCACAGAAATAAGAGTTGCAACAGAAACTCACATCCATGCTACTGAAGGATTATTTACAATAGCAGTGAGTTGGAAACAACCAGATGTC